GAGGCCGGGGTGGCCCTGGGAAGAAGGCGCCTTGGGTCTGATGCATCATTGGCCGTGGGTGTGACTCAGCCGGCTGCCTTCTGTCTGGAGGAATGAGGACGTTGGCCTGGGTTCTGGAACCCCACTGCCTGGGTCTGAGTCCCTTTGCTGTCCCTCCCGGCTGCCAGGCCTTGCCTAAGGCACTTGACCACCTGGGTTTCCCCATCTGGAAGACGGGGACAATGACCCCAGTGTCACAGGGCCAGGGTGAGAGTTAAATGAGCTACTATTTGTCAGGAGCTTCGACCAGGCCCAGTACCTGCCAGCACCCTGTTGGGTTTCCTGTGAGCCTGAAGGGAAGAGGGATTCTGGGCCTGGGACTGCAGCGGGGGAGGACAGGGGCTCTCAGAACGGGGTTTCTGCTGCCCTGGCCTCCGGCCAGCTTCAGTCCGGTTGGCCCCTTCCTGGACAGGAGAGCACAGTGGTCTCCAAGAGAAAGGCTTTTTCTGGAGAGCACCGGGGACGCCTCATTGGAGAAGGCTGGGCCAGGCACCGAGGCGGCAAGGAGAGACCCTGGGACCCTGGCAGGACGCGCCTGCCCCTCCCTGGCCAGGAGAGGCTCACCTGCTGTCAGGCTGAGGTCAGGGCCGTGTCCCCTCCGTCGGGGGGAAGGGACGGGTTGTCCTGGGAATGCTGTCCCCACTGAAGGGCCTGAGCCGTATGCCAGGCCTGTGGGGCACCAGGGGACTGCGGTGGGACGGTTCTGAAAGGAACCCCAACTCCCCCCTCTCCTGGGACGGGCTCTCCTCTGTCCTCCTCCCCACTCGGTCCTGGTCCTTCGCCTGCCCCGTCCTTCCTCCCAGGACGGAGCCCCTGGAGGAGAGTCTTTACAAACTGGGCTGCGTTGGAACTTGGGATTGGCTGGCCAGGGCCATTCTTTTCCCAGGTTGCCATGGCAGCCATTTCCCGGGTTGTCAGTGATGAAACTCAGAACATTGTTTTCAAATAATCCGTGTAATTGAAATAACAATTGAGCTGTTAACTCGTCTCTCACACCCGGGCTGGGACAGATCCTCCTCCCTCCACACCCTCCTCTCCACCCCAAGCCCTCCCGTCCTGGTCCCTCCGCCGTGGGGCTGGAGGAGGGAGACGTGGCCTCCCGTCCCCGACAGCATCCCAGCGACTGCTCCCAGGGCTGAGCCAGCACTGGGGGCGCCCGAGCCCCTTCCCCCTCTTCTTACAACCTGAGGCAAGGGAAGGGAAGAAGTTGGCGGTGACAAGTGGCATCGCGAGTGGATCTAAGCCCCAGAGTCGCTGACCTTGTGTGGGTTCTCCTCCCTCACCCCCACTTGGCCGCGGCCCAGGGAGCCAGGGGCGACGCAGTGTCCTTAGGACTAGCGGAAATGCCTGTCGGCGGGTGGTCGGGGCGCAGACGTCTCCCCATCTCCCTGAGCCAGGAAGCAGACCTGCTCTTGGTTGTCACAGGCTGCTTGGAAGGGGCAGTCTGGGGACTTGTGGCCCGGAGAAGAGGAGGGGGGGGTGGGATTCCAAAGTCCTGCCCGGCCGTCCAGCCCCAGCTTGGGCTTGTGGCTACATCAACGGGAAGGACATGGACCCCAGGACCCTGCCTGGTCCTCGGGAAGGACGGGCGGGTGGAGAGATGGAGAAATGGCTGCCCTGGGGCCGCAGGTCCACACAGACAGCCCCCACGGAGGCCGCTTCAGGGAGGATAAAAGCCTTTTTTAAAAGCGTCTGGTCGCTGTCCAAGGTGCTCTCTCGTCCGCAGAGCGTGTGGGCGGCGGCGCTGGCTGGGGCTGGGGTGGAGCCAGTCCTGGCGGTGAGACTGGAGCCTGCAGGGGGTTGGCTTCCTCCTCCGGATTCTGGAGACGGCCACCAGGACAGCTTCCAGTGCCCAGTTCATTCATCCTCACTCCCTCAAGCCGTTATTGAATTCCTGCTCCGTGAGGGAAGCAGTGTCTGTCCCCAAGGACTCTCCTGGTCTAGTGGAGACACCCCCCCCATGGCCAGTGTTCTTGTAGAGGGTGACAGGTGCCAAGTGAGAACAGAATG